AAGCTCTTCCCCTTTGGCAGTGGAGCCCGGGCTGAGGCTGGGGCCAATGGGGCGGGCGGGCAGGTCCGGTTGGAAGGGACCCCCGGCGGTGGCAGTGGCGGTGGCCGGGCCCAGCGCTGTGGGCCGGCAGACGAGGCTGCAACTGAGGAGCCAGATGTCCTCCGGCCGGAAGAGGAAGGCTCAGGTCACAAGCTTTAACTCGGGGGTGGGGACTCTGGGCTGGGATCTGGGGGTACGGAGGGGAAGCCAGGCCTGGGGAGTGGGGCTGAAGGGGACACAGGCCTCTGATACCGGTCGGGGACCTGGATCTGTGGTACCTAAAGCCCCTCAGAAAGGACTGCTCAGTCTCCAGGACCCTCCAGTGCCTGGAGCCCTGTGCCTGACCCTCCTCACCCCAGGGAGGGATGCCAAAGCCCCCTGTCCTGGTGCCTTCCCGAGGCACCCGGCCTGCCAAGCTCCAGCAGAGATGAGGGAGGCCCCTTCACCACCTGGCCCAGCCTTTCCTGCCCCCCATAAGTCTCTACACCCAGCTAACTGGGGGGACTGGACCCCCCAGGCCTCTATGCAAGTCCCCACCCTGAAGCCCAGTGTTGGAGGAGGCCTTCCTGGGTGCAGGGCCTGAGGCTGCCCAACCAGGGAGTCGGCCAGCTTGGCCACAGGCTGCAGCCACAGGCGGAGCAGGGACCCAGGCCTCACCTCTGGCCTCTCTCACCTCACCTGTCCCAACCCCAGCCAGGAGTCCAGCACCTAGGGAGCCCAAGAGGTGGAAGTTGCAGGACCGGGGACTTAGGTCTGAAGTCAAGGGACTCCCTCAGACTGACTCTCCCCAGAGCGGGGAAGGCACAGTGCTGCAGGCAGGAGATACACCCCAAAGCTGATCAGAAGCAATAAGGCCCTGATGTGCCTAGGAGTGGGGGGGAGTGCAGGCAGGGCCCTGAGTGGGGTCCAGTGACCACGGGGCGGCATTCTCCGGAACGGCCCCTCTCACCTCCGCAGGGACAGCGCTGGCCCCAGTGGGCACCGCAGCCCTTCGCACCCGCAGCAGCCGAAGCCCCGTGCCATCAACACCATCAGGCCCCCGACACCGCCCGCCAGCTGTTGGCAGTGGGATGGGCCTTGGGGCTGTGGGGGCGAAGGCACTGCCCCCCGCCAGGCCCCTGCCACCAATGCAGAGTGCCCGCCCTGTGCCCTGGCTGGGGCCCCGCCCGCTCCCCAGCCCCTGCCAGGAGACACCAGCTTCTACAGCCTTGCACCTCTGCCTCTGCCACCATCCTCCGAGCCCCCTGAGTCCCCCTCAGCCTCTCCCAGCCCCCAGGCTGTGTGCTGGCCCAGTGGCTGGCACTAGCTCTGCCTGGCGCCCTGCCTTCCTATTCTCATGCAATAGCAGTCACCAATGGGCGGCCACGGCCCAGAAAATGCTTTGGCTCCCTTGGGCTCCTCCTCCTGGGGCGAGGGCCTAGCTCCCCTATCTGCCGTTTTCCTTCTGACTAGGATGGGGGAAATGACCCCCCCCCCCCCACACAACAGAAAACACAGAGCAGGCAATTATTTATTTGTTTTTAATTTATTTTGTCATATTTTTGTAAAACGGCAGAAATGCAATAAAAAGTATATTTCAACAGTGCCTGAGGACAGAGCAATGGAAGTGGGGTTCACAGGGCCCAGTGACTTGAGGCTGACACTGACTCTTGGGCCTGGTGAGCCTGAGGTGGATGCTCCTCCTATCTGGTAACCTTGGTGCCTCCTCCTAAGAACTGGGTCTGGAGGCCACAGGAAAAACTCCCAACTGTACCACCTCTGAGATGGCCCAGATTTGGAGCCGACTCCAGGCCACTGGGAGGAGCTACTGAGCCCCAAGCCTGCTGTGCCTTCAGCCTCCCAAACAAAGGAAGAAATCACAAAGAGCTGGAAGAACTCAGCTGTTTGGGTGCCAGGCCGGGTCCTGAGTTAGCTGCAGCCCTGCGGGGTGACAGGGGTGATTCTGTCCCCTTTATCTGCTGCACTTCCTGGTACACCCACCTCCCAGGCTGCCATTCGAGGAGCCAGGGGCAGTGGGAAGAACTTGGGGGTGAAAGTCGGGAGGCACCTTGCTCCCGAGCTGAAGTGTTTGGGGGATGGTGCCTTTCGGGGCTCCCTGGACAGACTGGAGTTGGGAGTGGCTAGGATGTCCCACTGCAGAATGGCTGTCAGACCCATCGCTGGGACTTCACTGTGTGATCAGGGATGGATGTGGCCTCTCTTCAGGCCTCCTTACGTCCAAAGGCTTGGAGCCTGAATGGGCCCCACCCGGAGCTGGGGGAGCCAGTGTGAGGAAGGGGCTCTGTGGAGGGACATGAAAGAAACGGGTTCACTGGAGGCAGGAGATCAGCCTGTGCGAAGGCACAGAGGTGTGGGAAGGCAGAGTCTGCTGTCTGAGGGAGCAGAGTAAGGAGGGACCTAAAGGCAGGAGTGGGCAGCTGAGGAGCCTACACCCAAAGATCTGGGTGGAGAATGACCGTGGGACCCCCACTATGGAGAGCATGATGCAAAGGGGAACCAGGCCGAGGCGGCGAGGGTGCGGTGCTGCCTGCTCCTGCTCTGCCCCACCCCAGGGCTTTGAAGCTGATGCCCCGACAGCTTCTCAGTCACTAACAGTTAGCGATGCCCTGCCTGCCATGGTCAGCCAGACCCTGGGCCCGGGATTCCTAGGGGTCAGAGCTTCCAGGGACCCGGCCACCTCTGCACAAACCATCACGTTGCATTTCCTGAGCACCTGCCTTACGACCACAGGGACCCAACCCTGAGCCCATGGTATGAACACCGCCCAGCATGGGAAGCAAAACCCCTTGGCCCCATGACACAACGGGGTGGCCTACCCTGGAACCTGGTGCTGGGCAGCCCAAGCCCAAGCAATCTATCCTCCATGAGGATAATCTGGGGCACGCACCCCCTCCAGCTCCATGGCCCAGCCTCTCACCACCCTCTAATACCACAGCCCCCCCTCAGGGCTGGTGGAGGGAACAGCAGCCTTCCCCTGGGTCCTGGGCCCAGTGTTCAGGACCTCAAACCTGCCTGGAGCCTGAATGCCCCATGTTCCTCTGCACTCCGTGTGCCTTCTCTTGGAGCCAGGGGCTCGTGAAACCAGGCCGCCTGGGCTGTCTCCACAGTGCCACCCTGCTTGTCAAATGTCCTGGGTGAGGGATCCACCACAGCTCTGTCCTTGATGGTGTGGACTGTCTTTCAGGGGCGTCCTGATCCTCGGGGACACTTGGCGGGTCAAGCGGAAGGGTGGGTCCAGGCAGGTCTTGGCTCTGAGCAAGAAGCTGCAGCAAGCCCACAAGAGGGTCCAGCTGGTCCTGGGGCCACTCTTGGCTCCTCTTGGTGATGATGGAACAACTCTCAGTGCCTCCATCCTCTGAGGCCGAGGCACGTGGAGCAAAGACTCAAGATCAAGTAGGAAAGATCCTTTTATTGGGGTGGACACTGAGCACGCACCAGTCCATGATCAAATGACTTAAGAGAATGATCCGAAAGGGTTGACTTCTTCCTGTGGCGTGCTCTCAGAGCAGGGTCCCGGCACGGCATAGATCCCGGCTGACCGGGTGTCAAGGCCAAGTCTTTAAGGCCGGACCAGGGGATGGAAGCGGGAAGAAGGGCCCCACCCCTGTCACCCAGCTGCAGCAGGGCTTATCTCTAGACACTCGAAGACACACTCTGGTTCTCCAGAGAAGGATGGGGAGCAGGAGGAGGGGATTTGGGGTGGGGTGGAGTAATGAATAACAATGTTGTTTTTCAAGAAGCATCTACCAACAGTGCATGTCTGGGCTGTCGGTCCGTGCGACCTTGCGGGGAGGCGCTGAGCTCTCGCCCTCGAGGTCCACTTGCTCCTGGTCTCTCTTCTTGGCAGCGTTCTGGTGGACGGGGAAGGAGAAGGGCTGTTGAGACTGCACTTAGGTGACTTCTCCAAATCCTGCTGCAGGGGTCAGACATGGGCTTGGACCAGGGCAGTCAACCCAGGGCCCTGGCTGGGCAGCCCCTCCCACCACCGGACCTGCCCCACTAAGCCACAGTCCCTGGAGCTCTGGGCCCGTAATGGGCACTGCAAGTAGTCACCATGGTTCACAATGACCACATACGGCCCCAAACGCTCGGAGGAGCGATGCACTCTGCTGAAGCACAAGGGCCCTTTGAGCCCTCGGAGGAGCCCAGGCCTGGCCACAGAAGAGGGAAGTGGTCCCAGTGTGGGAATCCCTGCTTTCCCCACTCTGGGGAGTTAAAGCCTGTGGGGCTAGGAAGGGGCCAGTGTGGGCAAGGAACTTGCATTTTCTAAGCAGTTACTTCATCATGGGGTCCCCCTTCCGTCTTTCCCAGAGCAGGCTGCTATCAGATGTTCAATGTTAGGCGAGAAAACAAACTGAGCTCGTTATAAAACAACATGTAGAGCCCTGGACGGTGTGGCTCAGTTGGTTGAGCATCATCCCAAGCACCGAGAGACTGCCGGTTCAATTCCTGGTCAGGGCACATGCCCGGGTTGCAGGCTTGATCCCCAGTAGGGGGCATGCAGGAGGCAGTCGATAGATGTTCCTCTCTCTCTCTCTCAGGTCAATAAAAACATATTTAAAAACAACAACATGTAGAGATTTTCAACAAAGAAGGAGAAAAACACCCTGCATGTTAAAAAGGCAGCCTCTTGCGGGGAGGAGAGATGACTCTCCATGGCAGCCACAACCTCTAGAATGGCCTGGATTTTAATCACCTGTATTTTTTACCACTAAACAAAGATTCCAAATAATCACACTAGAATCATTCTGCCGCCAGGACTGTGCAGGCTGCAGGCTGTGGGAGCTGGGCCTGGGAGATGCCCGAACCTTGGAATGGCTGGCCAAGCCCCTATCCATCCCTGAGCATGAGCTCTGTAGCCTCTACACAGCCATTCCCTCCTCTGAAACGCTGCTCCCTCTCCTGGATCGTCTATCAAACTCCTATTCAGTCCTCAAGACCCATCTCCCAGACCGATGTCCTTCCCCCACTCAAAGCCCCTGTGCTGGGCACTGTGTCTCCCCGGAGTCCCAGCACCGGAACCCCACGTGCCTTACCTTTTTGTCCCATTGCTGATGTAGGTAGCGCAAAAGGATGTTTGTTTTTTCTGTCACGATGACTGAGGAGGAAAGACAAAGTTGCAGGGAGAGGCTGCAGAGAGAGACTGCAAACGGCCCAGCCTCCCTCCTGGCCAGCACTGCCCCTCCCAGGACAGTGCTCCTCCCTCCTTGGCCTCCGGGGCCACCTGTGCCCTGAGTGGCCTTTCTGGCACTCAAGTCAGTACCCCAACCGAGGAGATTTCAGGAAGCCCAGGGGCCCAAGCCAGCTGCTCTAGGGTCCCTCCTTCTCAGAAATGCAGAGTCCAGTACTGCATTCGGGTTTCCACCCTGCAGTGGGGAGGAGCTCTGGCTGCAGACTCACGCATGTGTCTTCCCAGGCCAACCGGGAGCACAGATCTACAGAGCTGAGCCCTAGTGACCACAGAAGCCAACCAGCTGGGTCCATGTGGATTCTTTTTCATGGTTAAAATAAAACACATGGCCATGGTAACCTCCCACTCACAGGCTCCGCACCCTTTCTACAGGCCCTCCACCTGAACAACCCCTCCCCGTGCTGCCCACCCCGGTTGGGCTGGGTCCCTAACCCATAGTACTCATTTTGGGGTGTCATGAAGCTGACCAGTGTCCCACAAGACACCTCCTGCACCACCCTCTATCCTCTCCTCTTAGTAGCCTGGATGAGCTACTAAGAGAACACTGGATGTCACACAGAGAACACTTACTCTGTTCAGATGGGTACTCGCGCGTGGGCAGGTAGACTGAGGGGCGTCGATTCTGAGGGAGGGTCCAGAAGAGGTGGATTAGGAGTGCGGGTTGACTAGGGTCCCCTCACCCCTTGACTCGGATCCACCCTCGAACACAGACCAGAAGATGCACAAGACCTTAGGTGAGGTCAGGCTTGAAGATCGGCCCTGTTCCTAGCGAGACGCTGATTGGGGTGGTGCACATTACCCCCAGCCCCTCTCCCCACAGCTCCCTGAACCTGCACTCACCGAGGCTTTACACACAGAGTCAGCATGAAATCGACTAAAATTGCTTTTGTTGTAGACTGGCAGTCCTTTCAAAAAATCTGCCTGAAAGACAGTAAAAACAGTAAGTGAGAAACCCTGTAGGGGCCAGTCCTGGAGCACCTGCGGTGGTGGGCGGGCTTCCAGGTTCCCTTTCTGATCTGTTGTGCGTTTCCCGGAAGACAGGCCTGAGGGGGCCACCTGATGTGTGCACCGCTATAACCGGAGAAAAGCAACCACCCCTGGGAAGTGCACATTCTACCTCAGAGTCCTTACAACAGGGCTGTACCCTGGCAAGGGGTGGGGAAACTGAGGCTCAGAGAGCACGGCCATCTGTGTAAAGTCATCCCCGAAGCAAGCAGCAGGTTGGGGGGTCAGACCAGGCCCATCCAACTGTAGGTCTGTCCTGTATGCTTGTTCAGTGTGAAACTCCCGGCCTTGTCTCTGTTTACTCACCTTTAATAGACACCCAGAGGGGAATGGCTTGCCACCCTAAGAAACCCCATGGGCCAGCGTGACAATAAATGGGGTGGGGACCAGAAGCTTGGGTGAAGCGGACAGGAGGGCCAGGACACAGAACTGGGAACCCAGGATTCTGAACTGAGAGAAAACTCAGAAATCCAGCTTCAATGTCAGCGTCAGGGTTTAGAGTTGGCTGGACTTTCTCTAAAGCTCTGTGCAGCTTGGAGTCAGCTCAGGGGCTGCTCCTGGGGTGCCCACACCTATGGCTTCCCCACGAAGAGGGGAGGCCTCCCAGGGTGAGTGCCAGAGGCAGAGAGCAGGCTGTTCCTCCCTGCCACCCGCTGCCGGGGGCAGAGACTCCGAGCCACAGGTCTCAGGCCCACAAGGTGCTGGGAAGCCAGCAACACAATTCATTCACTGCCCAACTCCTGAAAAGTCCTTTGTCCCTGACACTCTGGGGTCAGCTGAGCAAGCAAGGGCGATGGCTCTGGAGCAGGAGCACGCTGACGCTGGGGGCAGGAGCACCCTGACTCTGGAGCAAGGAGCACGCTGACTCTGGAGCAAGGAGCACCCTGACCCTGGGAGCAGGAGCGCCCTCACCCTGGGGGCAGGAGGGACGAGACGCAACTACAAGATGGACAAATAAAGGCCAATGAGGCCATGTCCACCTCAGGAAACTGAGGTACGAGAGCAGGGGTGTGCAAGGGGAGGAATAAGGCCAAGAGCCGTGGCAGGGAGTGACTGCCCAGGAGAGCAGGAGTGCAACACTGTCATCGTGCCTGGGATGGGACGGCCTGGCCTGGGCCAGGAGCTTCCCCATCTGGAATCACTCTCACAGGATGAGGAAACTGAGGCAGGAAGGTCACATGGCACTCATCTGAGATCGTGTGGCCCCAACGAGAAAATGAGGAAGGCGGTCTGAATCCAGGTTTGCCCAACCTCAGAAGCCAAGCTCCTGTCGTGTGACATGCCAGTAGCTCGGTTTTCCTGTCTGAAATCCAAGGGCTCAGAGCCCCAAGAGGCTATAATAACCATCCCCTGGGGGTGAGTGGGGGGCTGTCCATCCCCATGCCTGAGCCTAGATGCTGCACCCTTGGGGAAGCCGCTGTTCAGATCTGCCCCCACCATCTGCCCCCACCATCTGGGGCAGGAAGGGAGGGGGTCCTCACCTCTGGGGGAGCCCCAACGAGACCTTGGGTGGGACAAGCCTCCCTGGAGGTGGCTCTCTCATCTGGGTGACCTGCTCCTCCAAAGCCAGCTCAAAGCCCCTCAACCCTGCCTTCCCTTACCCAGGACCCCTGTCCCACCTCGGCCTGAGACTAGGGGGCCAGCTTCATGCAGCCAGACCAGGCTTTCTTCAGCTCCTACTGTGTGGCAGGCCTGCACCAGGGCACTGAGAGGGCGCAGCAGACCTGCTCTTGGCCCTAGGAGGACCCAATGCAGGGGACGCAGGTATGGGCCAGAGCTGCACAGTGAAGGCAAATGGCCCTGAGGACAGGGTCCGGTGTGATGTGTGAGGCCCACGACAGTGGAGAGTGGGTCTGCTGGTCTTCGAGGGGTGGGGAGGGAGGGAGGGCTGCCGAGTAGCAATGACACGGAGACCTGACTCGTGAGGAGTGGTCCTGGTCCTGCCTCAAGGCTTCCACAGCTCTGGCTGGGCTGGGCCTCACTGGCCTCCTGCCACACACCTTCAGCCCAGCCTGTGCCACCGCCCAGCCACACTGCTCCTTTCTGCACGTGGGAAACAGCTGCCCAGCCCCACAACACCCCTGCCCTTCCCTCCGCACACGCCTCAGGGGCCTCTGCCAGAGCCACGTCCATGCCCCAAGGAGGCCCCATGTCTACGCGTCCCCCCCTTCCCTGGACTGGCACCCCCTAAGGGCAGGGGCAAGGCAGGGCTAACTCCACCTGAGCCTGAGGGCTGACACGGGGCCAGCAAGAGCGGTGAGAGCCACGGAGCCTCAGCCGTGCATCCGCCCCGGCTGGGCTCCTCCCGGGCTGTGGGACCTGGCAGCCACTCCATGAACGGGGGTCACAGCAGGGCCCCCTCCCAGGCTTGTTCTGAGTCTCAGTAAGACAACAAGGGAGAGAGCTGTGCACCGAGCTCCCTAGAAGCACCTGTTAGCATCGATGCACTTGTGCTGAATAAACCTATGAAGACAGGATTCTGCCTGCGCTTCCTGTCAGCTCAGTGGGAGAACAAGGCCTCGGACACAGGGAGCATCCTCACCTCAGCAGACCAACCCCAGCCTCAACCGGCCGCAGCCACGCACTGCCTCAGCGGACACTCACTGCCATCGGTGTCACCCCCTTTGAGGAGCCCGACAGTAACCCGCCCAAAGCAGCATGAGGAAGAGAGGGGGTGTGCAGAGGGAGACACTGAGGCCACAGTCACGGGCCCTGGAGCAGGTGATGCTCGCAGGGGGCAGCTCCGAGCAGCAGAGCAGCATGTGCAAAGGCACAAAGAATTCGGAAACAGGGCCAGGGAGGCCGGGCAGGGGCCTGGCTGCGGGGCTCATCTGGTTACAAAAGGAAGACCCTGGAGTGTTTCTCAAGGTAGCAAGTGTTAGAATCTGATTTACATCTTCCAACCCTCCCTCTAGTGCCAGGTAAACTGCGATCTGCCTGGGGGCAGATGGAGGCCAGGAGACCAGGGGGGAGGCTGGGGCAGGCAACCAGGCAGGGGTGGCAGTCCCGGGACCGCGGGGGTGGGACCCAGGGGCAGGTTCAGGATGTGCTGGGGGCAGAGCCGGCAGGGCCCTGTTCGGATGGGGTGTGGGCAATGACCCAGGCTTGGGGATCCAGGCTTGGGTACCCACACCCTAGGACCCCCCCATCTCCTGTCTGACCAGGTGTCTTCTTTCGCGCCCCCCCCCCCCCCCCCGCATCCCAAGAACGGTGATGTGTGGGCTGGGCCCTGGGGCTTTGACTTATCCAGACAAAAGCTTCCATCACCCCGTCAGCCCTGGGGAGGCCAAACAGTGGGGGCAGGGGGGGCGACCCAACTCTGAGGCTGGTCACCATCCCACTTTACAGGCTGGGAACCCCAGCCCCAAAGAACCAGCATCCCCAAGTCCAGGACGAGCAGCTGGCCCAAAGGGGCTTTTAAACTCCCAGCGACCGGGCGGCAGCATCCCCACTTCAAAAGGAGAAGCCGGGGAGGAGAGGCCACCCACCCCGAGTCGCACAGCTCATCTGCTGCCTGCTCATGGTCCTAAGCCCTTTATGATGTCAGTTCCCTAAAGTGTCCCAACCCGGTGAGGTCTGGACTATTGCTATTCACATTCACCGGGAAAGGGGTCTGGGATCCGAGAGATGAAGCTGCTCCCCCTGAAGCGCAGGTCGGGGGGCCCTGAACGGTGGCGGTGGGGTCAGGGCTCCGGGGACCAGAACAGCCTGCGATGTCGCACTTCCTTTGGCGACAAAGCCCCGCATGTCACGATGTCCAGCCCCCTCCCCCGCCCGGAT